AAAATCAAGTCGATTTGCGTAGGCTTCGGCCGTGCAGCCGGCTGTAACGGTGCTCCGGCCTACTTCGGTCGCCCCACTGCGCGCGGCTCGAGGCGGCGTGCGCGGTATGGTTTCGGCGTGTAGTCACGGCACGGATATTCGCGAGCGGCTCGGCGGCCCCCTCCGACGAGCTCGTGCTCGTGGGGCCCGATGAGAGGACGGACGGACGGATGGAATGATGCAGGTATCTCCGCGTGCACGCGGGTACACGTGTACACGGAATGCGTGACTGTGCACCAATGGATGGACATTTTATTCTTGCCTATGGGGCTATTAAAAAATCTTCTGAAAGAAATTATAAATATGTTCTAAAATTCCAGAAAACGATATCTTTATATTCGCATTTGTAAAGGGAAAGGTATCTCTTTATTATTAAGATTATCAGAATAAAAACAATCGCGTTGATGCGTGGATTCTGTATTCCAAATTAGATTGCGATTATTAATTAAATGCTGATTCAAAATTTGACCAAAGTTCTAAATTTTGTAACACAGAGATTAAAAATAAATGAGAAAATGAAATAAATAAAGATAAATACACACGAATCAAAGAGAACAGTTTAATTTATAGAACATTAAGTAGAAGATAGATATTATAAGTCAGACATGCCAGATCTAGATCGAGAGAACTACATATCTCGCGGGGTTTTGAGAAATGCTGCGATAAATTTTATATCTGTTGATAATAGCTATGAAGAACTATTGCTTGAATACTTTTCCTAAGAATTTTAGTCAAGAGAGAGAGAGAGAGAGAAAGAGAGAGAAAGAGAGAGAGAGAGAGAGAAAGAGATAGAGAGAGAGAGAGAGAGAGAGAGCGCATATGATTATTATTATATTATTATTTTATATGATTATTATTATTTTAATAATTATATATATTATATACTTAATGTTATTATTAAAATATTAGTTTTTTCATAACTTTATAATTATTTTATTGCAAGTTCCATGAAAAATTGATCATCTATGATTCATATCTATAAGAAGAATTATAGAAAATATTTTCGAGATGTTTCACGATGATTGCAAATTAAACTCGTGTTTACATGACATTCTCTACTTAAAATGATCTTAAAAATATCTTTAATTAGTACATTATATCATCCTGCATAATACGATGCTGCGACAGGTAATAAAAAACAGAATCTCAACATTTACGGTAGATAATAGATAATAGAAAATAGAATTATAAGTAAGCATCAGAATGTTTGGCGTGGTAGCGTAATGTCGCCTTAAATTTTAAAGAGGGAGAGGCATATGTCCCTTCGTAAACACGGAGCAGAGTCGTAAACATGAAATGGCTCCGCGCAGCTACGGCCGAATTTGTCGCGCCGCACGGATACCTGGTGATCCCATTGATAAGTGGCTCACTGAAACATTGTCGTAGGCCCGAAAAAGCGGGCCCGATCGATTGTCGGCTCGCGGGTCCACCGCGCGATCGTGCGAGACACGTCCACGCCATTGAATAACGGTACACGGCAACACGTCACGGCGAGAGGACCCCCCATCCACCCGCTTCATAAGTCTCGGGGGGTCGGCGCCGACAGTGGGAGAACCTACTCCGAAGCGTTTACCGTCGGCCGTTTACACTTGACAAGGACGGACTCTAACCGACGACAAGGACGGACTCGGGCGCGCTCAAGTTGAGCGCAAAGAGCGGAGTTTCGCGAGAGGGGTATAGTAATGATGATGATGATGATGGGTGCTTGCGGGAGCGACAGGTACTACCAAGACGGTGGAGCCGATATCCATGTTTCTCATGACGTGCTCCCGCGACCACGCGGATATGTCAATCGGAACAGAAAGAAGAAAGGATATCGAATTTAAGCTTTTTGCACAGCAGGATGTGAGCAATGAAGGGCGCTTTACGCGTGAATAGAATGAATATCCTCTTGGAAGTCGTTGTTTGGCAGGTGGATATGACAGTTTATCGATTGTCATGCAGCAACAGCTGTATAAATCCGGAAGAGAATTAAATTCATATATTTTCTTTATTTTTCACTTATTTATTTATATATTCGCGAATTTTATATAACATAAACTTGTTTTTTATTTATTTTTTAAATACTTTTCGTTTCCTGATCTGGCGTTTCTTCTCTTGTTGCATATTATATCGTCTTTTATTTTTACATAATTATCTCTACTATTATATTTTATATTAATATTGTAATTTTTGTTTTATTTTGTGATGTTATCGATATATTGAATGTTGCCAGAGCGACTCATATTTATTCTGTTCTTATCATAAATAAACTTTGGCATCCGAGTTCTTGTCATCGATTGAAGTCTATCCTTATTAAATGTAAACGACCGACGGTAAACAGTAAATATTTTGCGTTATAAATTTCGTCAAACATCTAATAATAAGGTTTGGTGTAACCTTTTACGAATAAATTTTACATTACTTAAATTTGATATAATTCCGTAGTTTATTAATAAATGATTAAATATTATCAATATTTAATTATTTATTAATAAACTATGGAAATATTGCGAAAATATTATATCAAAGTTATATGCATATTTCACAATTGACAGGATGGATCAGTATTCTGTCTGTTAAATTTGTTAATTTGTGTGCATGTAGTAAAACTTTAGTGACTTCTACTTAGGATTAACAATAAGATATATTAAGGCTTCTCATCATTGCAGTCATATTGAAATAAGAAATTATATTGATAAAATATACCAAAGACTTTCTTTTTGATTCGTAGATTGATAAATAAATAGTTATAAATTTTGATCAATTGTTGTAAGATCTATTTTTGTTAAGAATGACATGTAGATTGGATTACATTTACTAATATAGGATATTAAAAAAAAAAAGTTTCTAGTATATTTTATAAATTTATATCATCAAATGCAAATGAGAGAGATAAAACTAATTTACTTAGATATATCATACAAGAAAGAAAGAAAAAGAAATTTACATGCTTTTTTTCGTTTTTGATATTATAATTCAATGTAATTGCAATAAGGAAATAGCGGTCTTAATGAAAAAAAACTGAGCGTAATATGTTTATGTCACTTTATGTGATATATGAGTGTGAATAAAAAGTGTGTGTTATCAAAATATCATATAATAATCATATAATAATATATCAATAAATATATTACAATTATAGTAAATAATTAATAAAGGTGAGTATTTGTTATATTAATTAGCTACTGCAATTATAATTAAATAATAATAATAACAATATTTAAAGTTGTTTGACACACTAATTTAACCTTACTAATGCAAAGACATATTGTTATTAAAGCACTTATGTATATATATCGCACAACTCACTTTTCTATTAATCATTTGTTATTGCACAATACTAAAAACAATATTATTATTAGTAATTAACAATAGTATTAGTAAATTATATATATATAATGTATATATTATATATTACATATTTAATAATTTATATATTATTAGTAATTAATTGCATAACTAATTTAATGAATTCACAAAATTATCAAAATTTAATAAAGTTAATAAAATTTTACAACAAAAGTTTGCGCACCAATAACCGCGCCTTGGCTCATATTTCCAGTTTCCCCAGTTGTTAGTATTGTTAGTACTCTGAGCCTATTGCTGTTATTAATTAATTAAATGTTCTAGAAACTCTATAAAAAAGTTTTAATATAGCTAGAAAGAGAAAAAGATGTTTGAGAGAGCAAACATATAAAAAGAAATAGTTATAATTCGTATATAATCACAAAAGAATATTTGTATATTAATACATAATATATTTTTAAAACAATGTGTTTTTTTTTAATAATTTTTTGAAATATTTGATCAATTTTGTGAATCATTACAAGCTTATTACGTTTATCTCCATATTTCACTCTTTTATTACTTTAAATTAAAACAATATATAGATACAACAATTTAATAGCGCTAACAATAAAATAGCTAATAGATATTAAATGTACAGTGCGATTACTAACACTATTGCTAATTGTTATACGCTATTAATATTTACATAAATTAATATAAAAAGAAATAGTCAATGAGCTAAATTATTGAATCATCTAGATACATATAATATATAGATCATTCATTAAAAAAGTATTAGATATTTAAAACTTTTCGACTATTGATTTTTTGTTTTTCTGTTAAAGATAGAACAATAAAGGTAAAAATTATTGATAATATAACACATATATACGCACGCATATATTTTTATGCACTTGTTTTTTTTTTCTTAAGCGCAATGATACATAAAAAATGCAATTACATCTTTTTTTAAATAAAACAATAAGATTTGTTTTTTATTTCTTCTTTCTAATATTCTCCTAATCATTCTGCATATGAAAATAGTAGTATTGCTCCATGATTGCAATTCGATTGCAAAACCGTTGCAAACCGTGAAAATTTTGTTGTTTGAATCACACACACAAATTCAATAAACAAGATTAAAAATGCTTAATCGCACTAAAACGTTTTTTTTATTTGTTAAAAAAATTATAATTTTTATAACAAAATTTAAAAAAGAATAGTTATTTTTTAAATAAAAAAAACGTTTTTGTAATCTTATATAAATACACACTTTTATACAAATACAGCATTGCACATGCAACATTAATTGCATATTTTTTTAAATTGTTTTTTGTCAGTTATTTCTATATTATTTTTCTATGTATAAAAATATATAAAGATAACGTTATTAAAAAGTAAATATAAAGAATTATATATATAGTGTATAACGCTTTAATTTAATGATTTGATGCTAATTCTTACAAAATATATGAGAATACTTAATGCTTTGGTGACAAGTTCTGAAAAGTCTGTATATATTGTCGCATGTTTCTTCACTGCATTTTGTGATGAGAAAAACGAGAAATCATGTAAATTTTTTGCTGCAAATTAATTATTGAAATACATTAATTTTTTATATGTCATTATTTGCGTCGATGGCACAAATTGGATTATTTATTATTATTAATATTGTTGATATTGTTGTGCAGATCGAAGCCAAAGAACGAGAGAAGCCAAGACGCAAGAATTCAACGAAGTTCAACATGGAGAATTCAAACCGTATTAACATTTATTTATATATATTATATATACCAGGAAATAAATTTTAATCTCCATATAGGCGATTATTTTGATTATTTCAAAAATGTTTTAGACGAAATTTATTTGTGTATGTTTCGAGAAGGAAACGTCTTATGTCAGCACAATTTGGTTCCAAATAGAAGCGCTTTCGTGATATCAAAATCAGGTTCTAATTATAAAACAATCATAAAAATACTAGAATATAGAACCATTAAAAAATTAATATTTTACATGATGTTTCATGATTTGTTTTGACATATGATATATAATATAGGTACATATATAATCGCTTTTTAAGATTAAAATAAATTATCTGGTACAAGTACATATATAGAGGATAAGATTATATTATAATACATTATATTACAATATAATAATTTTTATTATAATATATGTAATACAATATACATATATAGTATTAAACTCACATATCCACATTCACATACACAATATATATACATATATATATTTTCGTTTTATTTATACGTATATACATATTTATTATTAATGCAGATAATAATACATATGTGGAAAAATATAATAATAAAGCAACAGTAAAGCAAAAAAATAATAAATAACTTAATATAATCCTTTATATTATAATTAGAGTTTAACTATTAAGTTTAAATATTTTATATTATTTAGTTTATATAATACTCTTTGTGTTTAGTACTTCATCCTATCTATATTATCGTCTTCATTTTAACTATGTAGCCCAACGCTCTCAGTTCTTATTATCCTATTGCCTGTATCATATTACTAAATTCCAAATGTTTTATTTCTATACTGTTCTTATACGTATTTTTATTCATTTTTCATGACATCTTTCTTCCTTTCTTATTCTTCAAATTGCTTCTCTCTATAGTGTTTCTTATTTCAATTAGATAATATTGTGTACTTAATGTGCATTTTACAATATTTACGCTTATTGTTACTTTCACTTTCATTGAAGTTATTACAGTTCTCGGCATCATTTATATTGCTATTTCTTTTTCTCTTATTCTTTTCTATTTATATATAGTATAGTTTTTATTCTGTACTATTATTTAGAATTAATTCTATAATGTCTTCCGCTTATATTTTAATATTTTTTAAACTTTTTATGTATGTTTTTTACTATTACTGACATTCAATAAAAAATTAATATTTTTTTTTGTTATTGTTCGTACGAACACACACGCATTCGTTTAAATATAATATGTAATTATACTATGAGATATGAGAACGCACGTATAACGTATATTTCTGCGTATGTAAACGAATGTATATGATCGTTGGATCGTACTAGCTTGAATATAACCTACCTATCTATCTACCGTATTAACATCGACCACAAACGTGCCACGAAGCTGTACGACATGCCTCGCTTGCTTCGCGGATCTGCTCTTGTTTATTCTCTTCTTCCTCTCTTTTTTCATTAATATTAGCCTTATTAAGTATAAGCCGTCGGCTTATCTTAAGATGTACTCGGCCGTAGCTGGCTAATGTGCCACTGACCTAGTTAGCTAGAGTAAGTCTTTCTTCTCGAGAGGAGAGTGAGATCTATGTCTATCTAGCGCTTGTATGCACACTCGTTGTGTGTGTATGTGTATATACGCATCGACATTGGTTACATACAGAATACGTAGGTATTGTAAAATATATATATTATATATATATATATTTTTGTTATTGTGTCATTTTTATAATCGTCTTTATCTTAAGATAAATCTTGAAAAGACACGATAAAATTTTTTTCTTTGTTATTACTAATAAAGTCACATCTTCATCTAATTTACATTTATAAATCTGGCTAATGGCAATCAATGTTTTTTTTCATGTTCCAGAGATCCAAAATTTCGATGACTATCGGACTAGCAACAATTTGGATAGGCCAGTCTTAAATTCGTGTTTACCCGATAGTCCGGATAGTGGCTATAGATCTTTCGAGACTTCGCCTCAACATTTGATTGATTCACAGTACAAAGTAGTAATTCCGGAAAATCCAAGAGACTATTACTACCAATGTCAACGTCTCGCACATGCAGATTTCAATGACACTTCGCGAGCTAATACTCAGCGCCAATCAACAGAGTGTGAGAGACTTGCCAGTCTCGTAAATTCTATACCGACGACATCGTCGTTCCGCAATGAGCTGAGTTTTTCATCATCGACAGAGATAAAGAAAAACAAGTCGCAGGCAATCAAACAGGAGAATAACGCACAACCTCTTACACAAGAACTAGATATATCTCCTTTGCACACATCCTCATGCGGACAGATCGAAATTCCTTCCTCTCTGCAACAAACAATCACATTTACGACATCATCAGAGGAAGAATATACTACAACAAATATAACACCGACGAACGAACAGAATACTATTAATATCGAAAATCTAGCGGCGGGAGGTGAAGCGGTTGTTGCTGAAAATTATAATAAGCAATTTTACGAAGCGAACGCGTTCTCCATCAACAAGGTCTCTGAGTTTCACAATTTGCATCTACAGCAAAACCAATTCTATGACTCGGATAGATCATCGAATACGATAGTCACAATACCTGAACAAACTAAAATTCATAATTTGGTGGATGGATGCGCATTGCCGGAATATTCCTCGATCATTAACTTGAACAATTCCGAACTCTCGATTACGGTACCATCGAACAGCGAACAGGAGGCTCAACAACAGCAACAGCTGCAAGAAGAGCATACTAACTACTTTCAGAATTCGTATATTTATACCGAAGCAAGATCAGAAGGCGAAGAGTTCGTGACAGGTGCGAAAACAGATATCAAGTTCGATTCTGTTAGTACAATTATTTTCAAGCCGCCACCTCCCTATCCCGGAAACAGCACCGAAGAGAACGGTGCATCGCTAGCGCAGCACGTGACCGTGCAAAATTCTTCAAATACCAACATTTCGCCAACATCGAACATCGTAACTGAGATGAAATACGAGACACAGTCGGGTCCACCGACGACGCCGTCGCACTTGACCTCTTCCGGCGTCGAACCGCCACATAGCAGTCAGACTTCCGGGATCGTAATGGGTGATTCACCAGCCGATGTCGGTGTAGACAGCTTGTTGTTGTCTCCTTGGGCCGCAAATGGACCCGAGTTCCTTGAAGGTGGGGTACCAGATGTGAAACAAACGGCCGGATTTCAAGATGCTTCATGGGTGGATTCGCTTATGCTAAATTCGACTGTCAACGTAGCCTCGGCTCAATCGCTAATGGAAATAAAGGGTCCACTTCCAGCTTTTACTAATTACACGGGACACCTTTCAATCAACGGTATATCTGGCCATCACTATCATACGATAGCCTCATCCGGTCAGAGGTCGTCAGTACCGTCTGCATCGCCGACACCCTCCTCCAATCAAGAATACTACGAGTCACCCGTAGTGTCTTCGAGTACACCATGTCCGCAGGTAAGTCAAAAACATCAGCCACAAAATCATCAGCAGCAACAGCAACAACAACAGCAGCCACAGCCTCCAAATCAACACCAGCAACAGCAATTGCCACAATCGACGCAGCAGATAGAATACGATATTGAGGACATAGCGGAGATTATCGGTTCCGCGATAGCGGACACAACGGTGCCGGGAAACGGAAACGGTCCCAGTTCGGAGCAAACTTCGGATTCAAGGGACGATTGGATAGACATCGCCGATTGGATCGACATAGCACATGAGTGCTCGCCTAAGACCCAAGAGACCACGTCGCCCAACTCGTTCGCGCCGCAGATTTACGTGACCACGACGCCGACCATGCCGACACAACAACACGCTGGTTCCACGCTACAAAATCTGCTTACGCAGAGCTATGCGCCCTTGTTGCAAGCGAGATTGCAGGCCGGTAACGCCGCCGGTCTTCAAAACACATCCTGCGGCGAAACGCCGTCATCGACGAGCCCTTATCCACCTCTCAGCCCGCCCAACCGAGTGTCCACGTCTTGCAGCCCCGACGACCTCTTACATTCGTCTTTCGCCACCCCTTCGCATCCCAGAAAAAGATCGCGATCCTCGCCAGGTTCCGGACAGAACCCGAACAAGAAGAATCCGGCCCTCAATACAGCAGTATTACCGTACGGAGCGGAATCCGAAGTGATTGGCAATCCAAAGAAGCCCGTTCATAAGTGTCACATATGCAATAGGGCATTCTTGAACAAGAGCAATATTAAAGTGCATCTGCGTACGCACACGGGCGAGAAACCGTTCAAGTGTGACGTATGCAGCAAGGCTTTCAGGCAAAAGGCGCATCTTATCAAACACCAGCAGATTCACAAAAGGGGCGGCAGAGAATAAATTCTTTCTCTGATCGAAGGGACACACCTTATAAAATTAAAACGGTAATTCTAATAATAAATAACATAGGTAAAGATATATAATAAGAATAGACTTATAAACATACTTAAATTACGCTATATCGTACCTATGAGACATGGCGATAATGCGGCCATTGTAGTGACAATATACAGTATGTGATCACTCTAATTAGAATCCGTTGATTTAAATGCGTCCCTTTAATTGGAGAAAGATAAAAGTGGATACAAGTCCGCTTCTAATTTAATGGAGATGATCACGGCCGACGTTCAGAATAGCGACATATAATATTAGTTTTTAATATATAATTCCATGCATGCTTTAAGACACGTATGGAATTATGTATTCTAATATTCCGTTAAGATCACAAATGAGAGATTGAGACGTAACTAATTGAAATTGAATTGGTAACATCTCTAAACTCTTCTTTGAACAACGCATTTTTATTCGAGATTTTTATTCTTTATTTTTTGCAATGAGGCTTATAATTGAACATCGTATTTTGATCACAATAATGATGATATTGTATATATCAAAATTACTGATTTTTATTTCTGCGTGTTAATTTTAAAATTAAGCCAAAAGTTGTCATTAGAAAATAATTTTAAATCTTCTTTTGACTACAACGAAAATATAAAATAATTTTAGGTTTTTTTTAATTACAAAAAAAACTTTTTATAAAATTTTTGCTATTGTAGATTTAATAAGTTTAGTCATAAGCTTTACGCCTTATTTTCTTGCATTGCAAGTTTAATGATGAAATCTGCATTTTATACCTTGTGCAATTATATAGCAGATAATCTGAAAATATAGGACAATTTCGTCTTCTTTTTCTTAAAAAAATTTCTTAAAATATATATAGTAATGCAACTTTTATATTCAATATGTAAATACGGATTTGAGGCATTATTCGCGTATGTGTTACTATTTACGCTGACGTCACTGCTGATAAAGCTAATAAATAAGTAACAATAAAAAATAAGACAATTGTGGATATATATCATTAACTTTTATTTAGCGTTAATAATACGCAACTGGACTCTTCTAATGATGACGACGAACGAAATGTGATGCTCAATTAATGCTTAACTGCAAAAAGTAAAAAATTTCAATTAGTAAAAAACGCGCTGTTTAAAAAAAGATTTGAATAATTCGGATATTATCTAACTAAATCCAGAAACATATGTGTATTATATAACGTCTTCAATCTCGGTAAGAAATAACTCTCCAAATATTTCTCTTTAAGAGACTAAAACTCGATTATCAAAACAATTATGCAAAGTTGTAAAATATTATATATTAATATTTTTACAAGAATATGAATTCATGCAAAAATGAATTCATCAAAATTGTGTTGTATATTTATATGTTACGGTGATTTTATATAAAACAAACTTTGACATTATAATATTATATAATTTTTGACATTTTGACAAAATTACTGATCATTTAATAAATTAACAAATTTGAATATGGTAACATTCTTTATAATGTAAGTCTAATTGACAAATAAAAAACATTTGAAATATAATTTTATAATTGAAATTTTATAACTGGAAATTCCATAACTGAGAATTTTATAACTGGAATTAAAAAATATGAAAAATATATAAAAATAAAAGATAAATAAAAATTTTACAGAAGCTCAATTAGAACATAAGATTATAAATATAAAAAGATAATGATTTTTTATTTGTTCTTTATAATAATATTTTTTCCTTTAACATTATTTTGACTTCACCGTAACGTATTGTATATATTTATTTTATTATATAATATTATAATTATAAATGTATAATATAATATATAAAATATGGCAACAATAATAAATTATTAAAAATTATAAAAAAGAAACCAAAGGATATGAAAACTTTCTATAGAAAAAGAGAGAGATAAAGAAGAGCTTTTCTCCATTCTATAGCATTCTTTGAGTAGTTGGAGATTTCTCGCTTCAAATCTTTAATAAACTTATTTTTAATATATTTAAAACACTTTAGTTATACTCTCTTGAGAGACTTGAGATTTTTATTAAACTTATGTTTAATATATTATGTTTAATATAATATTTATTCAAAACTTATATAAAAATTTATTTACGCTTAAATATAGAGATATATTTATACAATTTAGTCTCTCATTTTGACTGCCAAATTTTATATATTATATATACATATTATTTTTTAGTTTTATCAATCTTTGTCAACATCCTATCTCTCGATTCGGTAATTATGCATATTAGGATCGACCGCACAGATTTCAATAGTCTTGATGCATATCAAGGATATCGGTCCTGAGTCACTTTCAAAAGATTTTAGCCATCGCTCATTGTTTATTAAAAAGTTATTAACAAAATTAATTTAATGAATAGGACGTAATTTTCTGACACCATGTACGATTAAGAAGAAATATTTTTTAAAAATTACGTTCTAAATTAAATTAATTTTGTTAATAATTTTTTAATAGACAACGGGTGATGGCTAAAACCTTTTGTAAGTTACTTAGAATCGCATTGATTATTATATAAATTAACCGAAAAGTATTCTTGTGGCGAAAATAGAAAATGTGGAATGATTCAGATAAAAGGGTACATTCTCGGCATAAGAAATGACAGCATTGCATTGCGGTAATAATCATTTAATTGATGTTCTGTATCCTTGATAATATATGTATATCCAAGCCATTGAAATCTGTGAGGTGGATTCTAATATGCATAATTATCCTCGATTTTCTCGTTATTTATCTTCCTTCGCATACTTTGTAAGATAGCTTTTCCTCCGCCTTTTTTTTATTTAAGCTTCTACCCTTGATTTTCCATTTTTTAGTTCATAAATTTAAGATACACCGTGTGTAAAATATTGTACGACAAATTACTTAATTGCACTCCCCTCACGATCCTGTGATATAAGGATCAATGTACGGGTTTCTTATATATATATTTGTATGTATGTATGTACATATGTATACATATACATATATATACATATTTATATATATATACAAATTGATGAAAGATGTGTGTACGTTCTTGTTAGAATCGTCATCATAAACAAGATACGAGCTTTCGATGGATCGATGATATTATCTCATAATTGTTCTAACGCGGGAACGCTCGCGATTCTCGATATTAGTCGTCGAATTCTGCGGATGCTTGCTGTATACTTACGCGACCTGTACTCATTTATCTGTCGCTACTCGATCCTCGAATTCTCGTCACTATTGTGGTAGTTAATAATTACGAAATGTATAAAGTCATGCGCATTGTACATGTACATTATTTATAAAAAAGGACGTTTAATTAAATGATTGTTACCGCAATACAATGCTGTCATTTCTTATGCCGAGAATGTACCCTTTTATCTGAATCATTCTTCATTTTCTATTTATCTCACAAGAATACTTTTCGGTTAATTCTATAATAATCAATGCGGCAGTGGCGCTTTATATTAAAAATGTTTGATCGTGTAACAACTATATGAACAAAGAAAATTGCATTATTCGCAGTGATAGAAGGCAATTCGAAAGAGATAATTTGATAGAAGATATAATGATAACATACAATATGTGTTCCTAAAAGATAATAATATTCTAACACTTGTAAATATGTCAATTTAAGCACATAGTTAATAAATAATAATGTTATAAGCAATGTACATATTGCGTGTGTATGTGCGCGCTCGCGCGTGCGTGCATATGTAAATGTTTAATTTTTCTATTTATTGTTATACATTAAATAAAGATAAAAAAAAATGAAAGGAAATCTCATGGCGATTCGATTCCCTGAACGATAACGTTTCGTGTTGCAGTTAAATGTGAAAGAAATCTATATATCACGATGTCCACGAATCAAGTTATGCCACTGCTGACATTATTTAGTATTGTAAAATTTACCAGAACAGTAATCAGGGTGCCGTTTATTTCCGATAATCATCGTGGTTGTCAGCTTCCGGACTTTAGATGCGAGTGTTATTCCAAGCAGACAACGGGGCCAAATTACCGACGAACTTTAACAAAGGATAGTATTGAAAAAGGATCTGGGACAGTTTGCGTGGCGGTTTATGCTCGGTACATGGACCGCGGATTATTGTTGAATATAATGATATAACGGAATTATGATCTCGGAGGTTATACATGGTCCGCAGTGCGATGTTGTCTCTTCGGTATGGGACAAGGAGACGCGTGATTTCATATGTCAAAGAAGAAGAAAACCGAGAAACACAGTACAGACCGACAATGAGAGAGAAAGAAAGAAAGAAAAAATAAGGAAGAGAAAGAGAGGGATACATCTTTTTTTTCTGTCTGACAACAAGACGCGAGAAGCTCTTGTGATCGTACACGCGAATCGTAAACAGAGGTATGGCCACTGTGAATTTAACTGTACTGTTGATTAATCCATACAACAAGCGTCTCAAAAGCGTATAAAAATATCGATATTAAGAGCAAATAATAATAGAGCGCATAATGCTGCAAAAGAAGTTGCAAAGCGATTAATGGAAAGAATATGCTGCTGTGAAGAGGATGTAAAACGAATAATTAGAAGAAATTGACTATAGAAAAGATAATAATCATAATACAAGTAGAAGGTAATAATCATAATGTTAAAAGTTGAATTGCCAAACATATGTTTGAATCCAAAGAACGCTATTTATGTTTTGTATATTAAAAAACATATGTATAATATATTTTATATTCGTATATAATATATTTTTGATAATTTAATATTTTATTATATAATTATATGTATTACGCAGTCGTTTAAAGATGTAGAGGAAGCAACAAAGAGAAGCAAGATGATGGATCGACATGTCGCTGACTCAAATGAATCGTGGCTAAACTATCAAGGAGGGACCTGTCGCACCGCGGTTCCCATGATGGTCCACGTATCCAGTCGGACGAGTGACCTGAATTTTTGGAGTCCACCGACAAGGCTTCCTATCCTCAATCCTCACATAGTATCTCCTCTTCCTCTTCGTCCCTTCCAAACCACAAATGCGTAAAAAACTTCGAAAGTGCTGCGAAAGATCGAATTATTTCGCAGCATGATGCTGAATTGTTGCTTGTCAAATGTTTCTTTAAGAAGAAAGAGAGAAAATTTTACTTGTTGAAGTTGGCAGATTCGATGAACATACATCGCGCTTATATTGGACTTATAGTGTTCAATTAGTGCCTTCTATTAGTTACGATGATTGTGTAATTTATTCGCGAAATGTTACATGTCTCATCATGTATGCTAGCGACCATCTGTTTGTTTAATATCCTAGATATCTGAAATGTGTACGCAACATGTGCGAGAAGTTAATAGACTGCTAAAAACAATTGATGAAAGCACTTCTTCAAAAACCGTATGTACATGTAACATAGTAAAAAAGCTTTAATATTTCTCTTGATGTGCATATATTATAATTTCCGAAGATTTAAATCTAAATAAATAATATAAACGGCAACTTTTCAAGTTTATTTACAAAATTCTTTAAAGAAATAATCTCTTAATTGTTTTGAGCAATGTATTAATCGTGAAATTTAAATGGGATAGTATTGTTTGCTTCCTCTTCCCCCTCTTCCTAATAGAATCTTTATATATAACACAATATTAAATTTTTTTAT